GCGCCGCGCGCAGCCGCCGGAAGGGGAGGCCGCGGCGCATGCGCAGTGCGCCGAGCGCGCGGGCTTAAACAAAACCGGCGTGCGTGCGTATATGTATTTCATGTAGATAGGAGTTAAAATAGGAGAGGAGAAATCGGGCTACGCAGAAGGGGCGCCAGAATAACGGATCCTAAGCTTTCAGTTACAGCTCAGGAAGGGCTAACTCTTGCGGAGGGTCTAGGTCTTCCCTTAAAAAAATAAGGATAAAAATTCATTGCTATAATTCCGCCCCCTTACGCCAAAAAGGCTGTTTCTGGAGTAGAGGAGTTGGGACTCAGCTGGGGGGTAAGGAGGTGGCTTTTCATCCATCTCGAAGTTGGCATAGGGGATCCTTTCCTCAAGGATTTGCCCATTTCCAGTAAGCCTGGGGCTTGGTCTAACAGCCTGCAACACAAGGAGTAAAATAATCCAACAGTCCTATTTTTCTCCTCCTTCACTGCACCCGTGAAGTGACTTCAACTTTCACGTGACAGGAGAGAAGGGGGGGGGGGAAAACAAAAACAAAAAAAAATGCCGCCCCCTATCCAACATTAGTCTTGTAAGAGAAGAGGGGAAAAGCCTTGGAAAGGGGGAAGACATACAACTTCATGAAGATTGGTTGTAAGCTGTTAAGAAGGGGATGGATTTCCTAATATACAAATTGGCAAGAAAGGACAGAGCTCAGTTAGTCCTTCCTTGATGGGAGCGCATAAGGTCTGTGAAAAGAGTCAGTGGTGGGTACAGGATCATCAGGGAGCACTAGAGCAGCAGCATCTTTACGTGCTATGAACTGCAACAAAAGGGAGTCTTCTTAGTGAGTGATATTTCTTAAGGAACACTTTGGAAAAAGCCACCTCCAAAGCATGAAATGCAATTGACAGTATATAGAAAAGTTGGACTTTTTTTTATTGTCATTTATGAGTACACTGTTTGTGATTTTTAGAAATACAGAGTCTTTGCAAAGCACTGAAATACAGGTGCCCTCCAACTTTGAAAAACCTACATTATTGTATGTCTTACAGCATGTTTATACTAGCAATTCAAGTTTGGTCTTTGTTGCAACCAGTTGGTCACCAAAGAAGCCAATGTGGAGTTATAGACAGCAAGACAGCCAAACCAAGTTTCAAATGCCACCTGCCTGTGAGCCCTACAAACCAGGTACTTTTAGATAGTTAACCTATGATGTTCTTGTACTTTATGTCCATCATGAATTCATGTGTGAAATTTAAGTTAGAGGATTTTTCCAGTTAACAGTTTCAACTTTTTTCCATTACAGCATCTAAAAAGCAAACAGATACTCTGCAATTACTAGTGCTTATGAACAGATTTCGTTTAAACAAAACTCAGAGAGGCCTCCAGAAACATTCAAGGTTAAATGAACAGTTAACAACTGCAAAAATCTGTACATATTTTCAATCATAACACAACGAAACACTGAAGCATCAGTGTTTTGTGTTCTAGCTTCACTAGTGAAACTGTGCTAGCCCTAGTATTCTACATGTTTCTCCCTTCTCCCCATTTAGATTTATAACTGCAATCTGAATATACAGCTGTACTTACAGGAAATATTAAACAATGCACAGCGCCTTAAAGCAAGTTTCATGTCTGGTTTTGAACAAACCGTATAAAATAAGTGACAAAGTAGTTTAAGATTGGTCCTTGATTACTTATTTTTACACAGCTTGGAAGCACTAAGTTTAGAGACACACGTTTATTGTTAACCAGCACAAATTATTTTGCAGCTTAGCTTTTTTTTTTTTTTTTTTCTCCTTTAAAGATTGTGTTACAACATCATGCATGAAAAGCAAGCTGTTGCTCCCAAGTGCAAATGTGGAGTTCAGCCTAACACCTTCTCCTCAGGTTGCTACTCCTTCTTTCATAAATTATTTCAGCATAACCAAAAATATAGAAGCAGCTGACTAGCAAAACAATATCAAGTTCATATTTTACCTTGTGTGTTTTTTTTTAAAAATAGCAGTGTACTTTGGACCATTACTATAAGGAGGTTTCAATAAACACTGCCAAGGAGTTTACATTCTTTGATTGCACTTACATCTTTAGAAGGAAGATTCTCTATCTTAACTTGCTAACTAATGAATCATCGTCTAAAGACTGCAGTCTTGAAACAGTGCAAGACTCACAACTGCAGAAGCATCCAAATACACTGTCCTTTCACCCAAACAATGATTAGCAGAATATTGCATCAGTCCTCGGTAAGACAGGATTCAAGGTTTGCTTTAGAGGAGAAGCGTTAGGATTCACAATCCTTTATATTTAGTGAAAAATACATAAATATGCACAAAGGACTCTTTAACATGGACTTTAATTACAACCAATATAATCCAGCTGTAAATCTAAGAACATGTTATTGGTATGAAGTCATATTTGCTCAGAGAACATGATTAGACCCCTTTTCTACTGATATTTCAACATCTGGGTATATTAACAGGGGAAAGCTCTGTTTCTGCCAGAGATCAAGAATTAGATAAAGCTACCTAGGTGGCCTGTGAACTTATCCAGCCCATTTTTATCTTACAACATCCCAGATATCACAGAGTTGGTTTTTATCTTTGAATTATCCTGGTAAGTGTGGAGCCTCCTCCACTACCACGATATTCCCGAGACCACCACCACCAGGATGGCGGAATCCGATCTCAGGTGAAAGCTGCCACCAAAGACGACCGTTTACTTTCTCTCTGTGCTGTCAAGGATGAATGTTAAAAAGACCACTATCCGGTGTGGAAAGCAGGTCAGTAGAGACTCCAGGGGTGACTTGAGGAATCCTCTGCACCAAGCCGCTTTCCACACACACAAATTCAGTCCATCTTCTCTTTCTGGACCAGCTTGGGTGCATCTACAAAATCCTTGCCATTGTAGAGGATGATGGCAAAAGTTCCAAAGCTTGCACTTCCCCAGAACAGCACGTAGGCCAGTGTCTCAGTCCACGTATCACCTGCCAAGAGTTGATAAACTTTTGTTTGTTGTGTCTCATTAACGGTGAGAGCATTTTAGTGCAACAGCAAACAGTCCAAGCCCTCCCCATGTGGATCTGCCATCAGATGCAGTTGAAAGCATTTCCACAGATACTAAGGGCTTCTGCTACCCCATTTCGTAAGTGCTTTCATTGATGTTGAAAAGCCCCAGCTATTTGTTCTCACCCCAGCATTCTGCTGCTTGCCACACTGAACTAAGAGCTCTTTCAACACAGCTACAGAGGTCACAGAGTCAAGTGTCTTTTGGCACTCAAGTAATAAAATTCAAGGCAAAGGCAAAAGGTGAGAGCTTCAGTTTCCAACACAGATCTAGGACATCTGTCAGACCAAGCCTATGCCTATCTGACTCATCTGGATTGCCTTTCTGTCCTGAATTAGGGAGATACTTGTAAAGGAGATTCATCCAGCCTATAGTAAAAACTAGACATCCATCTTCGGTAGTTCAGGCAAGTTAAACTCAGTGTTTGGGCAATTAAGTCACACACCTAAATGACTCCTACTAAACTTTTGGCTTTATTTACTGTAGCACCTCATTTTTTTCCCCACATTCATGATGTAGTACTGCCCCTCAGCCTCCAGAGCCATGCTCAGACACATGTTAGTATGACTGAGAAACAGGCAAATACATACCAAATTGTTTAGTAAATGGCTGCTAGGAACTAACAAACCCAACATCCCAACATATTTATGAAGTTACACTAAGTGGTGACTTACCAGCCATTAGCAAACAGATAATGCACATAGAGAAAGCAACCACCATAATAATAGGCAACTGAAGAAAGAAAAAAAATGATTACATGATATAATAGAACATATATTACTTAATATCCTTGAAGACTGGCAGCACTGCAAAAGTATTTGTCTTGTAATAAGGTTGCTTCAAGTACTGATGAACAAGTATAAAATTTCATATAACTCAGATTTACAAAGGAGTGTTCAGCAAGTTCAGAATTAAAAATGTATCTAGGACAGGGGGTGAACAAAAGAAAAAACCCACAACAAAAAAACCCATCAAATAAATCTCTAATCCCCAACTCTGTTTCACTGCATGAGATACACAGCAGAGATAGAAGGAAAAAAAAATTCTTCTTATCTTCACAAGCTTCTTCTATTAGTCACCCTCAATGACTGTTTTCTTCTGTAGAACTTCTCCCTTTCCACTTGATGAAACAGATTAAAAAAAAAAAAAAAAAGCAAGCAGTTTTTCAATAGCTCAAGGACACTCCATTTTCCGTCAAGGGAATATTGTGGGTTTAGGCCTATAAGAAGGTATTATAGACACATAACCAGATTATAGGAACACTTCATTGCTAAACAGGCAATTTGTTAGTCTTACTGAAGGGAGGGACTAAAAGGTTACATCTGTTTCTCCCAGCATGAACCAAGTCTCCATACTTACAGCTAAGAACTTCCAATCTTTCTTGACATGTAGAGGACTAGCAGGTTCTACTTCATCCACTGAGTAATTACCAAGAAAGAGATCAATAGCATCCTGGAAAAAAAAGAGGAACACAAATTGCAATGCACTGCAATATTAATCGAATATACTTCTCTGTAGTTAAAAGCCCAACCTACTTGTCTAAATCCATCAGAAAAGTTATTTTTGTAGTAACGTATTAATGAGTTCCAGCCATCCATAATTAAGCCCCACTGAGTCCTTTTCCCAGTTCTGTAAAAAGAAGTTTTGAAAAAAAATATTTAAAATTTTCTTCTTGAATTCACAATATTAGACTTAACTCTGACTGATCAACAGTACCCCAAGTTTAATTATCCAGTGCTGCCTTGGCATTACTACCATACAGATTTATCACAAAAGTCATCTGAAACTACACTCCTCCCACAACACAAATGATGTCTTGAACAGGCCCCACTACCCTGGTTTTATTTCCAATTTTCTTTCCCTCCCCTGCCTTTACAGGGAATAATACTGTTTTTCTGCAGGTTTTAGTCTCACATTTTACCAGCTGAGCTGGTACAAAACTAATTAACAGCCTGAGCCCAAAATAGATCTCTTCAGACATGAAGACTTAAAGAAATCCCCAAACGTACAAAAACCCAGAAAGCTTTTACAGGAAAGGTCTGACTTGCCTTGTGTAATCTGTCTTTAAGGCACCAGTTCCAGCATATTGTTTGGCACAAGCATTAGCATTATCAGCCCATGCTGTGAACAGGAAAGCATTAAGAGGAGATTAAGGAAGTTATGTACTCCATTTCATAAAAACTGTTTAACTCAATAAACAACCTACCATTTTTGTAGATTTTCTCAAAGTCTGCTTGCTCTTCAATTCTCTGTCCAACATGTAGAACACCTAGTCTCTAGAACAGAAAGCATAGCACAGCTCACAACAAACTCACTAGAAAAATGAATTATTTGCTTTCAAGAAGTTATATTTATCAAACTAGAATCTGGCCAATGGGTTTCAAATAAGACCATGAGCAATGGCAACTCAAAGATGCATGCCCTTGTTGAGGTCTTGAGTAACATTTCAATGCCAAGCAGAAAGCCTCAAGCCTCTTACAAGTTGCCAACCAGTCAAACACTCACCTGAAGCTGGGCTTGAAGGGATCGGCGCGCTAACAAGCTCTGAATCACATTAGTCCGATCGAGACAGTCCATGCAGTTACTCCGGAATATTCCGTCCTGCTGAGTCACTATTTTACCATCAGAATCAACTAGAAAATAACTAACATACACAATCCATCTAAGTATTTGGATGTAACAGTGCATACAAAGTATACATTTTCACATGTATATATGCACTAGCAGCCAAAAGATGCATTCTCTTGAGCGTACAGTAAGTTACTGACCATGTTTTTGATCTGTGATACCTCCTGGATTTTCGCTATCACTCCTTACCTCAAAGGAGCTAAAAAGCAACAGGATGCTAAGGACAGGTTCTCAAAACTATGCTAACTATTGTTCTTTAAAGAACTGAACTGAACTATGTGACGAGGAAGGAAGACAGCCTCCCCTGCAGCATCACTGAATGATGTTTTTGGCTTCCGAGTTACCAAGATCAGAGAGTAATAGCAGAAGTAACCTGAGATTCACCTGGGCACCAGCTTTAGACCAGTCACCTCTGGACCTCACCTCACCCAGCCATATAGGTTGTTAGCTGTGATTCCTCCAGAAGGGTATTCAAGTCTTATAGGACAATCTGTTATTGCCACTTTTTAATATTTTTACTGTTACAAGAACATGCAATGGATCAGATGCTCCCCCTACCACCACTTTGCTACTACTGCATACACTCATTATCACCTCCTTTTTTTTTTTTTTTTTTTAAATCAGCTAAACCAGGCATTTCTACAGTGATACTAAAAACAGACCAAGTTTTAAATACCAAATTGCATGCATATTTTATGATACCAAAGCTAGTAAATGGAATAGGGAGATAAAGTTATTAGTTGATTATACAAAAGACACTAAACTGTCCTTGTCCTTCTACCACAGCATTAAAGAGTTCCAGTTACCTAAAGATTAACAGATTGCACTCTAGAAAAAAAGGTACTTCATTATGTAGTTACAAACACCAACTTCGGTCTAGTGCATCATCCACTGTCATTGTAGTCACTATATTGCATTTTAAAGCTTAAAAAAAAAAGAAGTTATGCTAAGAAGTTATGCCAAGATCAAGAGCCTTAAAACAGTATATGCACTTGGATTAAACTTGTGTTAACAGGACCTGGTCTCCTTCTTGGCAAGGGAGCTTGTTTTTTTAATGTTTAAGTGATTAAATGAGATGATAACACCAACATAAAATTGATGCTCCCTCCTCTCCCAGATTTCGCCTAGAATTGATATGGAATACTATATAGTCCCACAAGTGGAGATTTCTGGTTAATAACCTAGTAAAGTGACATCTGTTATGACTCCTCTAAAATAAAATGACAAAGCATGCAAGTCAGCTCTCATTTCTGCCAAACCTTTTATACCCCAATTCAATCTTTAGCAAGTTCACTGCCTGAGGACTGCAGAGATTTTTACTCTCCTGTTCTTATTTAAACAATGGCAAGACAAGGCAGGGTATAACCAACTTAATCTTGAAAGGGCACCTTTGGTTTTGACAAATCTCTAATTCTCATATCAAGAAAACTTAGTTCTGTTGTAAGTTTATAATGGCAGTGAACAAGTGATTCTCAGCAATCATTTCAAGAACTAAGGATCCTTGCCATATAGGAAACTTAAGTACTTATGTCTCCTTCAAAGTGCTCATAAGTCAGTTTATCCTGCTTTTGGGATTTTTTGGGGCTGCTTCTGATGGCAGGGAAGCCTGTATTCACTATTTGCAGGTAGCAGAGACCAAGAAGTGCTTAAAGCAACTCACAGGACTAAGCAAAAACTTCAGTTGATGTAGATATATTTATATAAACTAAATAAGTAAAAATAAACATGAGAGTTTGTTTCTTTGTGGATATCTTATGCTAGCAAGGT